CAAGGACATGTGTAATGCACTTCATTTCAATGCATTACTATCGCCAATGTTATAGCTGTAAAAAAAAAAATAATAATAATTTTTTTGTTTGGTTTGTTCTCTTTTTACATCAATACACAAATCTTTGATAAATGTTTTATGAACATAAAACTTTATTGTGCAGGACAGGAATCAGGGTAATAACAGTGAATAGATGAGTCTTATTCAGGTAACCAAGTCCCAATCTGAAAAATATTTCTGCTCAAATGTCCATTATTCACAGCATTTCAAGTTTGAACTATTTTTTACAGTATGACATCACCGTTCACAACTAGATTATCTTATATTCCTGCAGATGAATGTATGAAGGTGACATTTTTAGTCTCCTACATATTACTGATTGAAAAGAAAGTAGGCTTTTCCATTAATTCATTAAAACATACCAAACAGATGAGATCATTATTTCAGGAAAAAATGACCACTGCAGGCGAGGGCTTTTCATTACGGTGTTAAAGTGTGATATTTGCTTGTATTTTTCAGACGCACTGTACACCGCATTGCCTAGCACTGTAAAGACCACTTTTAACAATGCTTGCTTTCTTTTATTGTGTTCATTACGTAAAGTACAGGCAGTGCGCCTGCTGTAATTATGTACAGAATTTGTGTAATAAGTTATTACTGGGACACCAGAAAACTACAAATATTTTGGCATGGTTTGCAGTGTCATGGAGGAAACCAGATGCTGCTCAAATCGAAGCTTAGTTTCACAAACAGTAAGGGGGACAATATGAGACACTATTCATGTAATATTTTATATTGCAATAGACTCAAGAAGTGGGTTTGCTGCAAGGATTGTAAAGCACATACAGCATCTGTATTGCAGGATGGTTGTGTGACTGTTCAATTTTTGTCATTTAGTGAATATTTGTTTAAAACAGCTTTTGATTCTGTTAATATTTCTTAATAAAACCCATGCTTTTAAATGATGGACATTTACATTTTTAATTCTAATGTGATTTTTAATGCACATTTTGCAGACAGTTTTATCGAAAGAAACTTACATTGTATTTAAGATAAACATGTTATTTAATTAAATCCTGGGAATTGAACCCATGACCTTGCCATTGCTAATGCCATGCTCTACTGTTTGCTACAAGAATATCCAGTATGGAATAATATAAATGTTGCATATAATAGTAAGCAAAAGGATAACCAGGTTCACAAATGATCAACACATGATTACAAAGGTTTAAGAATTTCCAATATGCATGTTAGCCGTGCTAAACAGGTACCAAAAAGATCCTAGTCGCCTCTATGGAAGAGATATATTCTTCTATTTTTTCTAAAAGCTTTGTTGCAATATCCAGTGCCCTTCTGGCATTATTAATGCTAAATTGCTTGTTTGGAATGTGAGGAAATTGGTGATAGTTCGGATATTGCGTTTTTTTGCCATCAACACCAAGGTCAGTCAGTTGACTCACATAGTTCGGTAAAGAAGTCAACTGTGAGCTGAAATGGGACACCTGTTGAGCAAGGCTAGTTATTGGGCTGTTGCTGGAATGGTGTCCACTTCCCATGTACATCGCTGCTATCAGGGCTTTTTCCACAGCCTGATGCACTTTAAACAGACACCACTCTGAGCTTTCTCCTCCAGTGTCATTGTGAGCTGCTCTGATGTCACATTGCGCCTGTTCATACCAGCGGTTTGCCTCTCCTTTGTTTGGCCTTGGCGTTTCTCTGTGGTATGACCAAAAGTTATAGTGCCTTCTAGAAAAGTTTTGATAGAACCTCTCGCGTCCCCTCCTGTGACTTCGTGCCTCTGTGTTCCACATGTCATAGAAATCTCTAAAGTCTCTCCAGTTCGAGGATGTGCTATGTGCAGTTGTAGTTGTAGATGTAGTTGTAGTCCTTCGTTGTAGTTCCTCAATTCTCTTTTGCAGGTATCTGAACGCCTCTGTGGCAGTGGCTTCGTTACCTGGGTTCTTGTCTGGATGCCAGCGGAGGAAGAGACGTTTAAGAGCTTTTTGTTTGTCCTCACTTGACATTTTCCAGATTTCGTTTAAGCTTTGATCAATTTCTCTTTTGATGTCTTCCAATGTCTCAGGAAAAACAGTTGTGGTTTGAGGCCCAGATGTCAAAAGACGTTCTATATCTGTGCAAGTGGACCCTTTTGACACAGTTGCCTTCTTTTCTCTTTTAAATTGATAAAGGTCAAGAGAGCTTACTTCAATGAACTCATCGCTGCCAACTTGAATTTTATATTTGGCAGGAAATTGTATTTTTTGTCCCAATGGATCATCCACTCGCTCAATAACAATGGCGTAGAAATATTCACCAGAATCGTCCTTGCTGAAGCCAACATACTCTCCACTTTCAAAGTTGTTGAGAAAATTCATATCAAGGCAGTCATGCCATTCTTCAGGTATACAACATCCAGGTTTTGGTAAGGAACCGTGTCCTTCATCCTTGTGGCCACTGTTATGAATGCCGTATTTTGCCAATGCTTTCTCAACATCCTCCATGTTGTCACAATGCAAAAGTCGCCCTAGGACTAGAAGGCTTGAGGTGGTTAGACAGTTCTTCAGAAGAGCATTGATTTCTTTAGTAAGACACATGGTAATTTCGCTTACTACTTTGGGGGCCATGTCATCATTGTGTTTTAAGTAGAAACTGCATCCACCTTGCTGTTTTTTCACATAAACATCTGTTTCAGTCTTACTACCCTCTAGTGGCTCATGGTTTAACAGAAGCTCAGTTTGAAGAGTTTTACAACAGATAATTTGAATCTTAGAAAAGATTTCTTCACACTTTTCTGCAGCTTCAGAATGTGACACCCTGCCTTTGCTCTCTTCTCTGATGAGACAGACTAGTCCATGAAAAAATGCAGCAGAAGACAAGTGCTTGTCAAACCAGCCACTAAATTCACAGTCCCCTTCATAATCGCAATATTGTACACTTGTTCCCTCCAGGTTTTCAGAAACGATATTCGAAAGAAATTTTGGGCTAACTTGCTCAGGAAGGAACTGCAATAATATCTGATGTTCATAGTGATCATTTCCAAGATGACAGCAGTTTAATTTTTCCAGCAATTTCAGCTTGGTTTCCAAAGGACCCTCGAGTCTTGTGGCCTGAAAGACGGTGTCATTGAAAAACAAAGTGCTAGATTCATATAGTCTTCCATCTGTTGATGGAAGATAAAGTTGGTTGTTTTGGAAAAAATGGGTTTTGTTCTGTTCCTCTTTCAACAGGCAAAATAGCTGTTGTACAACACGTTTCACAGTTTTCTGCTGATTTGCTTGAAGACTGTCTTTTTTAGAACTATCAGAATATATTTCTTGAAGAACAGTGGTATATTGATGGATGGTTGGTCTCTCCTTGACACCAATCATCTGGAAGAAGTCTTCAAATTTCATATAGTTTGAAGCAATGTTGTACAAGTAAGGCCTAAACTCAAGAGCATCAGACAGTGCAAGTACTGTCTGGCGAGCTTTCACAAGTGTTGTGCCATTTTCCACAAGGATAACAGGGAGGTCTGAGAAAAGAGAGGCATCAAAATGTATTGACTGTAGGTAGGCGTATGATTTGCTATATATTTTTTTTCTTGTCTCCAACAATCTGTCTGTGTGGCACTGAGACATACAGATATTTTTCAGATTAGCAGCTATTTTTCCAGGGGGTGGAATTTCCAAGGCCCCAGCATCCTTCATTTTCTTTATGACATGTGGTGAGCAGAGATCTGAGGGTAGGATTGGCATAGATGTCCATATCAGAAAATGGTGATTGTTGTCTCTGTCAATCAATGATCCACTGATTGCAACAACCTCCCTCTCTTGAGCAAAGGCTTTGTGATAATCACAAAGTGTTTGATGAATTTGCACTGGGAAGATGAATTTAATGTTAGCAACTCTGTTCAGCAATTTAGAGTTTTTGTCATTACTCTTTGATAAAACAGACTTAAACAGGAGATGTGATCTTTTTTTAAGAACGTCTAATGGAGTGTTGCCTCTAGTTTCAGATTCAATTTGTATTGCAAACTGAATGATTTCCTCATCAGACACTCTATGTT